TGAATAATGATCTCATAATGGCTGTAACGGCCTCGGATTTCGGTCGTAAATCCATTCCTCATCCTTTCGTCGCACAAGTTTTGATCTCGGGAACGTGTGAAGGAGGCGCCTGAAAGAGGAGCAGAGGGAGACCTGCGGTGCCAGTTAATGGTTGAATTTTTTGGTGAAAATTGCACAGCGTCCTCAGCCTCAGGTGCCTTTCTATTTTGAGAAAGAGGGCAGCGAGGGAACGAGCGTTTGTCTTGGTTCTTCTGCCTAATAGCACGAACAAAGCACGAGAAAAATACACAGGACTCTATAGCGGCGGCGCTACTTTTTATTCAAGTTGGACATTCTCAGAGTTCTGTGCTTAGTTCAGTCGTACAGTCGTGTAAACGTCTAACACGCACTATGCTAAAAGTTAGAGATTGTATAATTTTTCATTTATCTTGCCGCTGTGGGACACGTAAACGATCTCTCTTAGTGTCAGGATTATTTGTCTTTATGCTTGGAAGCCAACTCAAATGAAAAGTTTTCCATTTCCCGTTGTTATCATGTTTGGTATTAGTCAAACTGAGAGTGGACTGAAGAGGACGGTGATTGACACGGAACAGTGACAAGATACATACAGAGACAACAGGTAATGAGGTACACACAATGACACATGGGAGAGAGAGAGGGAGAAGGGGAGAGAGGGGGGATGAGAGATGGAGAGAAGGGGAGAGGGATGGAGAGAGAGAGGGAGGGAGAGAGAGAATCAGAGAGAGGGGGAGAGAGCGAAAGAGAGAGAGCGAGAAAGAGGGAGGGAGAAAGATAGAGGGGGGTGAGAGAGAGAAGGAGGGAGAGAGAGAGACAGCAGACAGCGAGAGAGAAAGAGAGAGGGAGAGAGAAAGAGAGAGGGAGGGAGAAAGAGAGAGAGAGGGAGGGAGAAAGCAAGAGAGAGGGAGGGCGAAAGAAAGAGAGAGAGCGAAGGAAAGAAAGGGAGAGAGAGAGAGGGAGGATCTGGTCCTTAGGAGGCCGTCAGCTACATCTTAAAAGAGAGAGGATCCACAGACTGAGTCTGTATAATAATAAATGTGTCACAACAGACAGATGAAAAATGTCTAAACTAAAAGTAAAATGTGTGAGCCAATCAGACAGGCAGTCTTCAGTTTACATTTTTATATTTTGCAGTTGTAAGAAAGAGCCTTGTGAGTCACTATTTGACACTTTGGGAGCTGAGATATCACTATGAGCTCAACATTGAAATGACACATGAACTAAAAACACAGTGTAATTATGAGCCATAGGTGTCTTCTTCTTCTTCTTCAAGTTAAAGCTACATTTCCTCAATTAAAACAGCCCAAGGTCAGACGTGCACCCTCTTCCTCAGCCAGTGCGAAAAGTTGCAATCTGAAGTTTGCAGAAAGGTCAAACATTGGATAAAAGTGTAAGAAATAAGTTTAGGGTAAAGCTGAAATGTTTCCAAAGTCAAGTCCCATGGAGCTGTGTGGGCCGGCATGAAGCTCGTGGGCATAAAGTTTATTTTTCAAATTCTTCAAACACTGATAGTAAGTCGTTTTCTTTTTTTTTTTGCTAAAGCGGACTAAAGCGCGGTCGCCATGGAAACTGCCTCCTATGTGGAAGCGCTGGTCAGATCTGAAACACTGGTGTGGGATGATATTATTACTGTGTTCAATAACAGTGGGATTTGAGGCAGAGAGAGGAAAGAGAAAAAGAGACAATTCAATTTTCTGCAAACGTTTGTGCGACTGATGAAGAATCAAAAGTTTCCTTGTACTACCTGCAGGTGAAAGCCAGATTCTGGTAGACCTTTGAAGCTAAGCAGGGCATTGACTGGTTAGAACTGTGATGGGAGACCTCTGACAGCACCAGTGGGGCGGCTGCGGCTGTGAAGTGCCAAATTGCAGTCCTGTCCTTAGGCAAGACACTTCACCCACATTGGAATGAGTCTAGCCTGGTCTTAGCCATCCGTATCTTGGTCTGATCCTAGTGGCTGCATCGATTGAATCCCCTCCAACCATTCAGCGAGCGGTAGGTGTAGGTAGGTGTTGTGACGTCAAGAGTTTGTGCAGAATTTGCTGGTTGTAGTTTGGCAATGGCGGCGACTGTGATAGGATATAGAAGCCCGAGAAAGAGGAATGTTTGGCAAATGTCAGTCCTGCAAAGATGTGGCGCTACTCCCCACAGGCTCCGTTAGTGGCAAAGGAGATGGCTAAAGCTAGGCTAAATGCTAAAGCTAAATGCCTCACTCACTCGGGCACATTACGTACGTCACGGTAATTAACACAGATCCAATCGTTTCAATCTGCAAAAGGAGTTAACCCCTCCCACCTGCTAACAGAGCTCAATGAAGCTCAATTGAAATGAAATTTGTACAATGGTGTGGTTAGACCAGGCTAGAATGTGTCTGGTGTGTGTGTGAATAGTTGGTGGTGGTGAGAGGGGGCGCATACTGGGCATCTTGTTTCTGTCAGTGTGCCCCAGGGCAGCTGTGGCTTCAGTAGAAGTGTATCACCACAGCGTAGGGAGTGAATTAATAATCTCTTTGTGTTCCTAAAAAGCGCAGTCCAACAGAAAGATACATTTTTGAGGATTAAGGTTGCATTACGTGACTTATGACACCTATTTTGTGACCATGGTCTATGAGATGCGCTATCTAAATAACCATGATTTACTTATTGACTTACACAGCTACAAACAATGACTGATAAAGTTGGGTGAATACCTTTTTGAGCACAACTACTGTATTTCAGAACAGTATGGACTTTAGCTGCAGACATGGCTGATTCCCATTGTATATAGAATTTTTGACCATTCTTCCGAGCTCCACGATAATCCAATGTATAATCTGATCATGATTTTTTATTCCACACTCCAGACATGGGACATTAGGTTACCTGCACAGCTCCGAACATCCCTAGCACAATTCCGATCCGCTTAGGTCCTTGTTCATTGACGGGTTTCTACCACCGCTCGCTCTGTCTCTCTCCTACACCTCAGCTCACCTCCCCCCCCCCCTCTCTCTCTCTCTCTCGGTCTCTTGTACAAATGAAAATACCGTTATAAAACATTCAGAGGTTACATGTGGCAGAGAAAGGGCCCGGTTAAGTAGCAACATAAATCTTTTAACATAATAAGTGGAGCCGTTTCCCCGATGGCCCACTACACTGTTACAGATCGCATAGCGGCTCATGAGGACGTCAGGCTGAGGCTGTTTCACCGGGGCTTATGATAAATCACGTTTTGGGTTCATTTAAATCATTTCTCTTCTTGTGATTATTGTCAATTAGGAGAGGTCCATCAGTAAAAGCAAGAGATTGGTTTTAATTTTGAGTTTATTTGGGTCTAATGTCGGCTATAGACCGAATATAATGGTATACGTACGCCTCGTTTCCACCAGCCCCACTTTGCTCTACTCTACTCTGCTCTACTCTACTCTACTCTACTCTACTCTACTCTACTCTACTCTACTCTGCTCTGCTCTACTCTACTTTACTCTACTCTACTCTACTCTACTCTACGCTACTCTGCTCTACACTACTCTACTCTACTCTACTCTACTCTACGCTACTCTGTTCTACACTACTCTACTCTGCTCTACACTACTCTACTCTGCTCTACACTACTCTACTCTGCTCTACACTACTCTACTCTACTCTACACTACTCTACTCTACTCTACTCTACTCTACTCTACTCTACTCTGCTCTGCACTACTCTACAGTACTTTATTGTACTCTACTCTTCTCTGCTCTGCACTACTCTACAGTACTTTATTGTACTCTACTCTTCTCTGCTCTGCACTACTCTACAGTACTTTATTGTACTCTACTCTTCTCTGCTCTGCACTACTCTACTCTATTACTCTACTCTACTACTTTGCACTACTCTTTTCTACTCTACTCTACTGTACTCTACTATACTGTACTTTTGGAAGATAATAAAATCTTCACCTGTGTGTATTGTACAAAATTGTCCTTTTTGAGCTTCAGATTGTGTTACATCATCAAAAACAGACCTGGAGTTGTTTTTAGATCCATTCACGCTGGTATCTGTAGGTTTTGGCACAAACACTTCCCCCCGCACCCTCTGTCTATAAGCTCAGGTCTCGAACCTCTTTTATTGAATTATAAAAAATTAAATATAAATATAAAATTGGAAGAAAATTATGTGAGAAGATAGCAAATAGGTTTGTTTATTCAATACCGATTCAGATTCAGATTCATTTTCTTAGCCATGTGCAGTATAAAACTACATTGGAATACATTCGCAAAAAAAGGTACTCTGTGTGCACCGACAGAATAAAAAGCACGATACAATGTAATATAAATACACATACACTGAAAATAAATGTATAAAAAAACAGCTGACACTGTGGCACCGATCAACCAAAACGATACAAGGGGTAAAAGCAGGAATTAAAGTGCTCTGTTTAGGCACCTAACAGCCTGTGGAAAGAAGCTGTTAGCATAGCGAGATGTCCTGCATCTCAGCGACCGATATCTTGTGCCAGAGGGAAGAAGCTGGAACATGGCTTTCCCAGGGTGGCCAGAAGAGTCATTAACAATCCTAAGAGCTTTGTTTAAAAGTCTGGATTTATAAAGAACCTCCAGAACAGGAAGCTCACAGCCCACGGTCCTCTTTGCAGAGCGGAGCACCTTGTTTAAAGCTCTCTTTTCTTTATCTGTGATGTTTCCAAACCACACAGACACAGAACCAACAAGTAAACTCTCAATGGTTCAGCTATCAATACATTTAGATAATAATGACTTTGCATTGTTAATTAAGGTTGTGAAGTTTCTTTTTTGCGACATTCTCAGCAGATGTTGTGCCACATCTTTCTTTCAATGAAAATATTGTGCCACAGCTTTGAAAACAAAAAAAGGTTGAGGAACACTGTCATAAGAACCTCCAGAACAGGCAGCCCCCCGTCCTCTTGGCAGACTGTAGAGGACCTAATCGTGTTTGATTCTTGCTAATGAATATGCATAGACCTGTTTTCTCCCACTCCTTACATACCGCATGACACACACCTCCATCTCCTCTTCCATCTCCCACTCCCCCCCACAGCGCCCCCTGGAGCTCGCATAACACATCATGGCGCTCTCGTTATTGCGTCCCGGTTCAGAGGTGGGTCACAGAGCGGCTCTTACGGCGTACAGACAGCTGCCCGCGCCTTTCATCACTCCACATTAGCGTTTCATTAACTTCTTCATCTCGCCGACCCCATTATTCAAACAGGTGTTGGTCACTATGGCGCCAGGTGTTTCGGATGGAGGTCCCGGCAGCTCGGCATCATGGGAAAAGCGGTTTGAGGATAGGGAGGGGAGCGAGAGTACGGGGTTTTTATCAGCAGTGAATAGGTCCTGTTTGCTAGCGATGGTTTTAATGTTTTTTGTGAATATAGAACAATTAGATGGGACCTATTGAGGCATTGATTTTGTTTTTTGAGACCAAATTGCCAGCCTTCATTTTTATTTTTTTATTTTTTTTATGGCGTATTATGTATGTGTATTATGTATGTGTATTATTACATTATTAGGTTGATATATTTTGATATAATGGTTAACTTGCTATGTTTTTGAATTATGATATTTTTGACCCATGGAACTCTAAAGGTAAAAACTCAAGTATAAAAAGATAAAAAACAAATTGCTAGCCTAATTCCCACACACAGAGGGACTGGGGTTGGTGTGCCTAAGCAACTTCAGGCACTTAACCCGCCTCGCGACCTGGGCTTCTTGCCGAGGCGTGTGCGCTGGGAACACTCAACCAAAGAGTAGCCATCAATCAAACCAAATTGTTTTATAGACCGTACACAACTACACACAACTACACACAAGTCACACAAGGGACAATACTTTGCGTAGAGACAAGCGTGGATGTAGGGCTGAAAATGATACGGACACGGGCAGAACATGCAAACTCGCTCGTGAAGTTGAACCCTGGACCTTCTTGCTGAGAGAATGCTACTTACATTTTTGCAAGACTTTTGTAGAAATGACTTGACCCGTCTCATATTTTTGTCCACAATTGCAGCTTTAATCTTCACTTTCTCAGACGTCAGTACGAGTTGGTGATATACTGAATTTTGAAAGTGTGGCGCCAGATTCTGTCAGAAATCTGAAGCTAAGCAGAGCAGGGTCTGGTTAGTACTGTGATGGGAGACCTCTGGGAACATCTGTAGCTGCAGTGAGGCGACCGTAAAATGCCATTTGATTTCATCCACATTGCCAAGCCTGGTGTGTGTGTGTGTGTGCGTGCGTGTGTGTGTGTGTGAATGGTTGGTGGTGGTCGGAGGGGCCTGCTTCTGTCAGTGTGCCCCAGGGCAGCTGTGGCTCCAGTGGTAGTTTAACTCCGCTGTGGCACATGGAGTGAATAAATATTGAGTGTCATAAAACTGAGACATTACATTTTCTTTTCTTTCTGTGTGTTCCAGGAAACTTCAAAGGCATGTGTAAACAAATAGACCACTTTCCAGAGGAGACGGACTACGAGGCGGATCCTTCTGAGTACTTCTTACGTGAGTACTACACCTTACTCCACCAGAGCTCTGTTTGCTTGATTTAAACCGCTTTAACCCGGTCGTTTTGGTGTCCTCGGGCAAGACACTTCACACATGATAATAGCTTAAGATATTTAATAGTAGGTTTTTGATAGGGACAAGGGTCTTATATTTATAATGTACTTCTGAAATCGGCTCTCATTGTCCATAGACTGTTTATGTATGGTATTTATTATGATGGCAGAAAGTACATTATGTCAGTATAACAGAAAAATGTGAATAGGTGTAAGTTGTGGTGGATCACATCTGCTCCTTATGGTAACTATTGTGTCAGGGAGGCTTTTGAAATGGCTGCCACTGACCATTAATGAAGTTGACAACAGTAGTATTTACAAAGCTGTTTTTTGCCACGGCAGTTATATGTAAAAGATTATTTCTAGTGTTATGGATTTTGTCATACAAATGGTGGTTAAAGTGTAGCAACCAGTATGTTTTATTGTTATTTTGTCTTCCCGCTGAGAGAAAAAGTTACCTGCTGTGTTTTCTTGGATTTTTTAGAAATGTCTATGCTGTTTTTGAGTGGGTAGGTATGACAATACATGACCATACATAACAGTTACATTGACTCGTTATTGCTGTTGTAGCAATCTGCCAAAGCCTGATCCAACCAGACGTCAAGAGCTAAGCTGGGCCTTGATGGGAGGCCGCCTTAATACCAGATGCACTGTCTGTTTTTATTCTTAACCACAGAGTTTGATATCTCTGCAGCTCCCGAATTCAGGTCTCTTAAATCACAATCTTCCAAAATGTATGAAAAATGTGCATAGAAGGTTTACCAACAATTTGCTTTAATTGTTTTTGAGGCTATAGTTGCTGCAATTGTGAGTTCAGTCTGCTAGCTTAATGGATCTGGCAACTTCCATGGACCAAAGCCTCCAAGTTAGAGAGAATGTAAAGGGATGTAATTTTCTACACAAATTAACTTGCCTTGCCATATATATTTGGATAACATAAAACTGGTGTGAGAGCTTAAAACAGCTACTTGAAAAGCAAAAATAGAGGTCAAAAAAGTTGAAATAGAGGACACAATTCTGGAAAAGTCCAAAGTCCCGCATTTTCAAACCTAATATTGTGTTCTGCATCAAACTAACTAAGTGATACTGTACGAAAAACTAGCCCCATAGTTTTTGCTCACGAACGCAGCTGCGGCCCACATTGTCTGACGCTGAGCTGAAGCCGCCCACTTTCTGGTCGGTGGGCGTATAGTAGAGCTCGGCGGACTCAGGCGCCTCTGCCCTGGCCTGAGCTCGCCGTTGTTGCTCCTGTGTGTAACAGTAGCTGCTGTGGAACAGCTGTGCGCCTGTAAACACATCGATTTCTGCTCCTGTTCCCGGAGAGAGCAATAGACGGAGGCTGTAAGAGAGAGAGAGGGAGAGAGAGAGAGAGAGAGAGAGAGAGAGAGGGAGAGGGAGAGCTGCTAATCCCAAACAACACACAAACCACACTCACTGCCCATTCACCGATGTACGGCACATGTGTTTGACTGCTTTAGAGATGGAAGGATGGTAGACGCTGGTTCCAAGTAGAAAAAAAGAGGCAGGAATTCGAATTTCAGAAAGTATTTTATCTATTTTATTTATTTTATTTATTTTATTTATTTTATTTATTTTATTTATTTTATTTTATTTATTTTATTTATTTTATTTATTTTATTTATTTTATTTATTTTATTTATTTTATTTATTTTATTTATTTTATTTATTTTATTTTATGTTTTAATTTTATTTAATTTTATTTATTTTATCTATTTTATTTTGTTTGTTTTATTTAATTAATTTTTTTGATTTAAGTCTAAAGTCACATTCTACCATAATTGAGGTAGACTGTGCATACAATATTTACATACAACGTTTATTTTTAATTCTTGGCACAGACTTTTATACACTTTTTGTTGTATCTATATGATTTTATTATATATATAATGCATTTCACTTTGAACCTGCACAGTTCATGGTTCCAAAAGGGGGTTATTTGAATCCAATTCCCCACACACAGAAGAACACAACTGTACTATAAATAACCTAATACAACATACAGTACCACTAATGGTGAAACAAAAACGACCAAACACACACACACACATAGACAAGACAGAGGCCCAAACCCTCTCTGACCGTACACCTCTCTCCCATTTCTTGCTATGTGCTGAAGGCATCACTCTCCACATATTAATTCACTACTTATTTTTCAAACTTTATATATTTTTTTTTTTGCTCGAGCTCCAGTTCTATTCAGCTTTATTTTCAAACCAGTCAAACCACTTTAAGGTCCCGTCTCTGGTCGCCTCGCTGAGAAGATGGAGGCTTCAAAGACGTCTCGTAACTTAGCATTAGCACTCACACTTTAGAACGGTAATTACAAATACAAATGATTCAGATTCAGACTAATTGAGTTTTCCCACCAGGGGCAACTCATATGAGCAGCATAGGGCATAAAAACACAACGTAAGTGATTTGAAGGGATGGAAATTGTAAGTAGTAGAAATGATTTGATCCAGTGGCACCAAACGTAGACCACAGATTCCCACGTCTCTTTGTAAACGTACTCCTTACAGTGGAAAAAGCTAAAAACAACTCCAGATCTCTATTGATTTAGATTTATTTCTGTATAGTCCTAAATGACCAATGTCTATTAACGTTTATACTGTAGATATCTATATCTATTTAACCTGTAAATCTAAAGCTAAAGCTCAAAAAAGACCATTTTGCATAATACTTCTCCTTTAATATCAAAACAAACTCAGTCGCATTCATTGCCGACCGGAGCGAAGACCTGGAGCTGGACCAGAGGATGCTGCGTTTCCACGGCAACTGCCAGGGCTGTGTTTCCGTGGCGACCAGCGCGGCGGCGGCGGCATCAGCGGCGGTGTAGCATCCGCAGCGGTCTCCACGGTAACGGCCCAGGCTCCCTCACAAGCAACTGTTACAACCGTAAAAAGATTCTGGGAGGGCGTTAAGAGAAAAGATGAAACAAAATCCTCTTTCTGTGACTGTCTTGGTCGCGTTTTGTTTTTGTGGCGTGTGTGTCATGGTTTTGGTTAAATTTTTTTGGCAGCTCGTGAAATCCTGGACTTGTTTTTGAATTTGGACGGATTCGCTTTTAAGAGGCAATCTGGGAGGCTCAATAAGTTTGTTGGAAGAAAGAGGAGTTTTGGAGAGAGATGTAGCAACTGGGATTTAGAACAAAATGTGATGCAACAGTGTGAGTTTTAGCCAACGTTTCACTTTAAGACTCAGACTCACATCTCAGGAGCTAAGCAGTGCAGGGCCTGGTTAACATTGTGATGGGAGCCTGACTACCAAGATCCAAAGTTGTACTAAGTTTAATTTTATTTAAGGAAAGCTTCTTGAGATGAATGGCACTAACAAAGCACAAACTACAACTACTACTAATACAAACATCACTCATATACTGCTACTACTATTACCACTAATACTTATACTACTACTACAAGCCCTAGAGCATCTCAAAGTAATGGGTTTGGCAGGTGAACTGTGATCTCAGTGATTATTAATTGTGCTACAGTATACATATAAACTTGCCTTGGTTTGCCTTAGCGGTTCACAGCTTGATGTCCATAGTGCATCATGTTGGCCTCAGCACTACTACTACTGCTACTACTACTCCTACTGCTGCTACTACTCCTACTGCTACTACTACTCCTACTGCTGCTACTACTCCTACTGCTGCTACTACTACTACTGCTACTACTACTCCTACTGCTGCTACTACTCCTACTGCTGCTACTACTACTACTGCTGCTACTACTCCTACTGCTGCTACTACTCCTACTGCTGCTACTACTCCTACTGCTGCTACTACTACTACTGCTACTACTACTCCTACTGCTGCTACTACTACTACTGCTACTACTACTCCTACTGCTGCTACTACTCCTACTGCTGCTACTACTCCTACTGCTGCTACTACTCCTACTGCTGCTACTACTCCTACTGCTGCTACTACTCCTACTGCTACTACTACTCCTACTGCTACTACTACTCCTACTGCTACTACTACTACTACTACTTCTTCTGCTACTACCATCATCACAAAACATTAAAGAAAAAGGTCATATATCTTACGTTCTATCTCGAGTACTCAAAAAACTCAAAACAATGTTAATCTTAGCAATGGAATCCGACCTTATGATGGTCAATATTCTATTCAATTCAGTGCCTTCTTGTATATTCTTGAATCACAACAGCAGTGATCTCATAGGACTTTACACAACTTTTGAATTTGCCAAAAGACAGATCAGAAAATCAACAGATAAAACACAAGAAATGCAATGATAGAAAACACATAGAGGCATTGGTCCATAAGAGGCAGAGGACAAATGTCTATAAATTATGATAAACCATAAATGTCCATAAATGAACCCTGGATCATAGACAATTGATAGGTTTAAAAAGGGAGAACACTTCTGCAGCTCTTGGTATGATCTAACAAATCAAAGGTGGTTGGGGTAAAGTTCGAAAACCCCTGATGCTACTGGGGATGAGGCTACTGCCGCGGTTTTGTTGCCGGAACCATGTTGTAAAAGTCCGGATACTGTTTGTGTACTCCAAACCCAATCGAGTCCTCATGACCGTGAACCGACGTGTCCGCTCTCCTCTGCTTGGGACACACTCTGGTGCAGGTTGCAGGGAGAAGTGTAGACTCAGATAATGACGATGCCTCTCAGCGCTGTGTCCATGTGCTGCTGCAGTCATTAGTCCGAAACAAACACACTCACACACTTGCACGCACACACAGACACATGCACAAACACACGCGCACACACACACACACACACTGTCCCAACCAGGACTCACAGGCTTTTCAGGTTAGAGTACTTTGTGTAGAGAAGAAGTGGGCACCTCAGAGAGAAACCATAGAGAGAGAGAAACAGATCAGTGAGAGACCACTGAGAGACCACAGAGAGACCACAGAGAGACCAGAGAGACCACTGAGAGACCAGAGAGATACCACAGAGAGTCCACAGAGAGACCACAGAGAGACCAGAGAGAGACCAGAGAGACCACTGAGAGACCAGAGAGAGACCAGAGAGAGACCAGAGAGAGTCCACAGAGAGACCACAGAGAGACCAGAGAGAGACCAGAGAGACCACTGAGAGACCAGAGAGATACCACAGAGAGTCCACAGAGAGACCACAGAGAGACCAGAGAGAGACCAGAGAGACCACTGAGAGACCAGAGAGAGACCAGAGAGAGACCAGAGAGAGACCACAGAGAGACCACAGAGAGACCACAGAGAGACCAGAGAGAGACCAGAGAGAGACCAGAGAGAGACCAGAGATCTCTCCAGGAATTGGAGCTAATGCTGTGGCGACTACAGTACCATTCATACCTGTATGTGTGATAATGTGGATAATCGGCTCACTGTAAAAACATAAAAAAACATCCCAGAACATTTTTCAAACATGTGAGTCCTTAAAGGTCTAAATAAATAAATATTTATAAAAAATACAGAAATAGATTAACTTTTCAACAGTATTCTCATTTTCCAAGTTTTTCATCTGTGTGCATTAAGTATATTTAATTAAATTTAATGTATTTTGGGCTAGACCTAAATAGTAACAGCCGTCGTCATGAAGGGCTTTACAAAGTTGTCAATTCGTCAACAACAGATCAAGCAGTTTGAACCCCGGAAATGCAATAATAACACACATTTATGAGCTGTTGGTTTATAGCTAACTGGGATGACCACTGTCCATAATCCAGGGTTAATCTAACCCTAACACCCCGATATAACTTTCATCCAAAGAGATAAAGATGAATAAATGAAAAATCTAAAAAAACAGCCCAAGTTTCCAAGTTTCCGATGCTCTTTTTTTTTCAGTTCTTCTTGTACAAGCGTTTGTGTGACCTGAAAATGAAACTGTGCCTTTGTCATCCTATAAAACCTAACTGTATTTGTGATAAATGGGGTTGAGTCTCCCGCACGTTTTGTGACTGCACTCGATAAAAAGTTCAGAGAGAAAGTTTCCTCCTCTGCCGCCGCTGACTCTCGGACCCCGGCCCTCGTGGCCTCACCTTTGCTGCGCTGTGATTGGTGGAGCAGGAAGCGGCGCTCCCTGTGGCTCTCCAATTAGGACACTCATATCCATAAATATTTTAGCCTGCTTCTTATATGGGTCAGACTGTGTGAGCTGCATCTGAGGAGGAGAGGTGGCTCTTCGCGGCGCTCCCTGATCAAGAGGCGATGGTACAGAGGATACATGTGTGTGTAGCAGAGGGGCTGTTGGAACGGGAAAGTTGTGTATGCGTTATTAGTGTTGCCATAGTTACATTGTCAGAGATCTCTTCTGTATTGGCCCGGGATAGCGTTAGCGGTTATCCTGGTGAAGTCAACAGTTATTCAATTCCATTTATTTTTTTATATAGTCCTTAATCACAAGAGAAGTCCCGTCTGAGGACTTTACAAAGTTGTGGACTCACCAACAGCAGATCAGAGAATCATAAAGTTCAAATACAGGAAAATAAGATTAAGGCGAAGATATCCTTTATTTGTTCCAGTGGGAAATGCAATAATAACAAACACATAGGAGTCATTGGTCCATGGGGAGCAGGAGGACCAGTGTCTTGAAGTCCCAGATCATCACCTTCCTTGGCCCCTCCTGCATAAGCAAAGGAACGATTAACAAAAAAGCATATTTACAAAAAGTGAGAAACGTCGGGGAGGCTCTTCCATCCAGGACTCAGGCTGTAGATCCAGGACTGATGCTGTAGACCCAGGACTGAAGCTGTAGATCCAGGACTGAGGTTGTAGATCCAGGACTGAGGTTGTAGACCCAGGACTGATGCTGTAGACCCAGGACTGAGGCTATAGATCCAGGACTGAAGCTGTAGATCCAGGACTGAAGCTGTAGATCCAGGACTGAGGCTGTAGATCCAGGACTGAAGCTGTAGATCCAGGACTTAGACTGTCAGGACTGAGGCTGTAGATCCAGGACTTAGATTGTAGACCCAGGACTGAGGCTGTAGATCCAGGACTTAGACTGTCAGGACTGAGGCTGTAGATCCAGGACTCGGGCTTTACACTGTTTTCGGTGTATAGTTATTTCTACATTCTCTCCACACTACACGCCAAACACACCAACACATCGAAGCCTCCAAGCCCATTCAGACCTATATTGTTTTTAGTGCGAGGGGAAACCAACACAGACATGGGGAGAACATGCAAACAAACTCCACTCTGGAAAACCACGTCTGGAGGTGGAATCAAACCAACCAAGCCCATTTCAAATCACTTGGATATTCACATTTGTCTCCCTCGATTCGAAAAACAACCAAAATTAGCTTTAATGAAGGTGATTTGATATTAAATGAATGACTCCATGTCTGGTTATTAAAAAGCGTCAGAGATTTTTCTTCAGAATCTCGCAGCCCGACCTCCAATCACACGGTTTGATCAGTTGCAGTGGGTGAGGAAGAGGGAGATTATGCAACAAACATGTCGTCATGGTGGCTGACAGTGCACAGGAAGTGACCTCACAGCCGCCGGGATCGCGGGGACCCTCCGATGAGGTCACGATGACATCACGGTCTGGCCTTGGGTTGCCGAGCAGAAGTAAGGAACATTCTGCCCCCTCCTCTTCCTCTCCTCTCTCTCCCCTCTCTCCTCTCTCGCCTCTCTCTCTCTGACTTCAAAGACTGTAGGGCTCATCTCCCCTCTCTCTCTCCTCTCTCTCCCCCCTCTCTCTCTCCTCTCTCTCTCCCCTCTCTCCTCTCCCTCTTATCTCTCCCCTCTCTATCTCCCCTCCATCTCCTCTCTCTCCTCACTCTCTTCTCTCTCCTCTTTCTCCTCTCTCTCTCTCCCTCCTCACTCTCTCCTCTCTCCCTCTCTCTCCCCTCCCTCTCTCCTTG